CTGAGTGAACCAGGAAAATCTGGGTTTAAGGCTTACATCAGACAAGAACTGTGGACATAAACGATTAATTTTACTAGAGCAACGCAGTTCAGTAGAAACATTATTCATTTACGCATGCCGTCTTCGCTGATGACGGTCAATCACTGAATTGTTTAAAACGTCTGATTCAATATTATGTTCATGCATACGAGGGCAAATAAGGTAGTTGACTGTGTGCCAATCCCCACCACTAAAATTCTCCGAACGTAATAATTTTTCATCAACATCGCAGATCATCACACAGCACGAAAAACAGAAGAAATGCAGATGAACAGACAAAGACAGTTAGCAATCCCCTTAAAACAATCGCTTTAAGTACTTTAAATTCATCATAAAGATAACGGGAAAATCAGCAGCTATTTAAGAATTCAGTCAAAACAGCTAGGCTTAAAAGGAAACAGGTGAGCATGGGACTTCTATGATAAGTAATATCTTTTCAAATATAAAGGAAAGTCTTCAAAATATTGGCTAATATTAGTAATAAATAGTTGCAGAAGAAGGTATCGATTCGTTGTCTGCAGGAATAACGGTTAATGATCGTCAGCTCTCGATGAATGATTCAGATCAAGCCAAAAATCGTTACAAATGTTAACTAAAACCGACTAAAGGATGCATGATCTCATTTAGCTTGAATGTCAGCTGGAATGTCAACGGTCAGCTAGCTCGGAACAAATGTTCCTGTCATTTAAACTCGATTCATAACATCGTGCTATTTTATGATGTAATATAACCCTGATGATGACGCTGGTGTGCGGCATCGAAACGCTTACGTGAGTAAAAGAGTTTACATCGTTCTTTTGAACTGTTCTCTTGAACCACAGTTCGAGAATCGAGGATCGTTAAACAATACCAGTGATGCCGTAAGAAGTGAAATGATAGGCTATATAAAAAGGGCATGCAGAATAAATGAAGTAAGTAGATACTTAAAAGGTCAGTATTCAGTTCCAATAGAAGAAACCAATCAAAATCAATTTCTGCCGATTCGGCCATTTGGAACGAAGATGAGGACCATGTAAGCTGTGCGATCTGAGGACATTTAATAAGAAAGGTGCAGGGCAGAGAGGAGGAGGAAGAACAGAGGATGAAAATGAAGAAGGAAAGAAAATGAACCACGGCTAAACATGCTCGTTTGCCAGAGATTCTAACATCCAAATGGTGTACTTAAGCCCTGCTTCGCAAGTGCTGACGTAGCATCTGACGCATATTTTGTAAAGAGCTCCAAATAGAAACTACAACCACAACGGTCAAAACGAAACAGACCAAGAGTTTGTCTATAAGTAATGTCAAACCAGCCAGCAGTACAGTGTCAGGAAAGAAAAAAGCCTGATAAATAACTTCCCACGACCAGTGCCCTGATATCATCAAGATGATCAAAACCAAACCGAACCAAACTGCTCTGAAGCCTTTTTCAAAAAAGCAACGCAACTATTAGCATATTTTTCACCAGTGCATCACTGACCAACTGTTTTTAGGTCTTTAACTTTCACAGTAATACTCCACCACATTTTACTCTTCGATACTGTTCAATATTTGGGACCTTGTTCGCTCTCTACGATGTAAATGGAAGGTTGAGCTTTGAAAAGCAATGAACACAGCTTAGGAGAACATCTGCCGCCTGAGTAAAACAGTAATCGCAACCACAGACTGGCCAGCAAAGAAGTGCATCAGTAAGCATACTTACAAACGCTAACGGTTCATGGTTCAAATCCAGCACTCCAACGACGGAAAACGCCTTTTTCACTGTTTGATCAGGTGTCCATGGTCTGTGCAGCGAAGCTCTGCACCAGTAGCGGACATGGCCCAAATCACTTTCGAAAGACGACGGTATATTTTGTGGAATGCTGAACGAAAACTGAAATTCATGAATACCACTGGAAACCACTTCCGACCGAGAAGTGATGGACGTTTCGCCTAAGGTATCGCTTTAAGTATTCAGTACGTACACAGAATGTAACAGTGAATCGACCATCCTAGCAAACTAACAAAAAAGGCAGAGATAGTATTACAACCATGCGCAGTCTCATGAGAGGCGATAAATCTCTGGACCGATTTTACGACTGAGATTCAAAGATAGCGTCAGGGGGTCAACCTTCGCACAAAAAATGGATTTCGTTGGTCAGTACAACTCTAGTGAGTGTTGCGATTTTCATGAGTTTCCATATCGGTTCAGAAAAACAAAGGTATGCAAACGCACGAGCGTAGTTAGCTCCACTTGAAATGGTTGTAATCAACCAACTGTAATACAAGGCAAAAAGCAGATTAATCACATATTCAGATCAATAATATATCCTGGCGAATGACTGTAAACGAAGTGCACCCCATCAATCCATGGCGGGAGCATCATTAGCAAAAAATATATCTTCTCTTAGTACATTTGTCCTTTGATGAGAGACTGTGACCAGTTCTGTCAACCTACAAGGTGGCATAATTGGATAGGAGAGGGAACAAATGAAAATAAGAACATATACATGATTTTGAGATGAGGTCCATTCAGTCTCAACTCTCATCGTGAGAGTGGTAGTTTCGTGGACAGTTTCGATTCTTTAGACGGAAATACAGAATCTGAATATCAGCATTAACTCAGAAAGACAGCAAGCTATCAGCCATGCTGCAATTACTTTATCTACGCACGTTAGTGAAAATTTAAAACCACGCTACCATACTGTTTGGTAGTTTTTTTCAGTATATATTAAGAAAACTTACGGTCCCTAAGGTTCCTCAAATTTCACTCAGTGATAATCACATACACTGCTGGCCATGAAACAGTTACGATAATTTTACGTTGGGCCAAGTGGAATTCCAAACTGTGCACTTATCACCGTCAGATGAGACTAACAGAGCTAAAACAGCATATCAACAAAATGGAGAATGTCCGCCATTTCATATGGTGTAGTGAGTGTATATTAGGCACTGTTTGCCTGATTCTACAAGGTTCTTCAACGTTTGCAATGACTGCAACGCGGCTGCTATCAACGGCTGCCGTAACAGAAAAAGTTCCTACGTAGGGAGTTTGATATTTCAGGGCTGCAGATGCCTCCAGACTGTAACTGAGCATTCGAGGTAAAGTGGCTGCTTGCTTAGACTCCGGAACGATTCAAGCCCTGAAATCTAAAAACGGATAAAGCTAAAACTGAAATTATGCAAAAGTCTCAGCTAAAAAACTGAAAAATGTTTCACAACAAACAATGATCGTATACCTTCACAACCACAAGTCCGAATCAGTTAATTATAATAAGAAAATCGGTACTCGAACGGCACCAAGTCATTACCTGATCCAAAGAGTAAGTCTGTTTGATCAATATATTTCTCGGTACTGGTCGGATTCGAAGAGGGCACATCGCCACGTGATATGAATGTGGATGCCGCACCAAAGGTTTTTAACTTAATAGCTAAAAATTTTTTAAAATTCTCTACCAATATATAAAAGTAATAAAAAATATGCTGCGTTACACGCCGTACGAAAAGTAAAAGAACTAGGTGGCCTGCTAAATCAAACCGTTAACACAAGGATTTCACAATTATGCATTATTCCCTTTGACAACATCAATGCCATTCAATAAGCAGAGAAGCAAAGTCACTTTTCTGTATCAGCAGTGTGAAAAGAGGAACACGAATGGCGAAGACGTTTTCAAACTTTGAGGGCAATTACCTTGTCCCCGCTATTCGATGTTTTCCGAACTTACTCAGGAAGTGACTCTTAAACGACCAAGAGAACTCATTTGCAATGAAATTTCATTGGGACCAACGAACCCAAACGAATAAATTTGAAATAATTTAAAGATTTTAAGGGATCTGACCCGAACTTTGACCTATAGTAATTCTGTACTCGCAAAACTACCAACCAGGGGCTGTCAAGTTTGTCAACCTGGAAAAGTTAGGAATTCGGTTAATTATAGACATTCTGGGATGCTGCTGATTCTGTCCATTTTGCCGAAGTTTTCTTGAATGAAACCTGGCTATGAAGGAATTATGCGTTATTGGACAAGCTA